AGTCCTGTCAGGCGCACGAAACAATTTGACATTGTCTTCTTTCATAATTCGAACATAGTTATCGGATACTGAGGTAAATTACGTTAAGCTAATCGTACTGTGTACACATAAAAAGAAGCAAACTTTTCAACTCTGGCTTCAAGACTAGAACTTTCCAGATTCTTTTTCTAACCTTGATATTTGATATTTCTTGTTTCCAAATATAGACCCTTTAAAATTTCCGTTGCGGAAGCTGTTGCATTTGGTTCTGATGGACCGCCTAATCCACCTGAGTGGTACCACTACTTTCTGTGTGCTTATCGAGGAATAAAGGATTATGCAGAAAAGTCTAACCTGGTAAGTCACCATATTTTGCCTTTTTTTCTCTTGCTGTACGGCCCCTTTTCTCTGTCTTTCGCGTTGTCCATAGAGGTTTCTTAAAGTTTCTATTTTTTCTAACCAATAAATTCAGTTGGATAGTTGTAATACAACTTACCAGTAACCTCCTAAACTATAACTTCTAGTATGGTGTTTTAGTTCAGCTTGTGTTATGTGAAGAAATTTCATGGATCTTGCCACGTGTGTGTTGCGGAGATATAGAAAGAAATAACAAGAAGGATACATGCAAAAAAACCCGTATTGTATCAGACCATTAATTATGTAAACTACATGGTCACTAACACTGTCAACAAGAAAGCTACTCGAGCTATATTAATGAAGGGATGGTCTTCATGTTATCAGCTTATTTCAGATCGATTCGTCTTTCTAAAATCTCTCCAGTCAACTGTTCTGCGATGGTTCCATGCCAATCATTCTGAAAAATTTTCCCTTCAGGTATGGAATAATCAGTAGATTGTAAATCTTTTTTACAGGACCCGATTGGTTTTACTAAAGTACCGGCACGGATTCTTCTTCGAATACTGATGCAACCGCGAAAGCAGTTGTTGCGAATTTACTTTGAATACTTCATTTATCGAAAGCTGTACACTATCTGATGCTTTTATACTGGTAAGGCTTTCGTATGTTTCAAAGGACAAAGTAATTAGTTTGTCATTCGGGGATGTTATGCACGCAAACGATTACGGATAGAATCATCCTTTGTGAACACATGAGGTCGACACTAGACATCAAGGTTTGTACAAGAATAGTGTCAGTCAAGGGACGGTTTTTGTGTGTGACACAAAAATCAGGTACTACTTCTTCTAAAATTGCCTCTGGAGGTGGTACTGGAAACTTTCGAATGCCAAGAATCAACGGGTTAACCGCGTAGTCGTAGGCACTAGGCTTCCAGTACCTCCATACATCGAAGAAAATGAACCAATGGCAGACGTAGGGTTTTAAAACCAATACTAATCAACTCCTATCTATATAAGTATGATTGATCTTGAAGAGGAAGATGATTACGAAAATTGTCTAGAATTAGCATAAACCAAATATTCTTGATTGTGGAGTTTGAAAATGTTGAAACCCTCGAGAAGTTCTAGAAAACCGTAGATAGAAGTTGTTAAGTGTGAACTATGCGATCCCACCGTGAGACTTAACAGTCCTCTGCTTGATGTTGCTTAGTTTCATGGGTACACGCAGGTAGATAGTCACAAACTAGAACGTAACAGCTTCCCAGTGGTTTGTAGTTTTCATTGGTTCTTTGGTCTTCGGTTTTAACTGCTTTAAAATTGGCTGATTGGTGTAATTATAACTGATAGACCTTTTAGACAATAATCTTTGTTCAGTTTAAAGCTTAATCTTATTTACAGTTATTTCACATTAATGCGTGTTAGTGAATCAATATCTGCAATGTATTATCTTTTATTCGTTCTGACAGTTGCCTCGAATCGCCGGATTTTTTTTTTCCAAAATATTTTAGAAGTGGACTCCTCCCAGTATGAATGTATTAGTTGGTGATGTCGAGTATGGTGGTCTGTTTCCAGCTGCGGGTCTTTCAAGTAGTAGTGCTTTCGTCGTGGCTTCTGCTATCTCAGTTATGCAAATATCTGGTTTGCAGATAAGTAGGGTAAGCGATAAAGAATTTAAAAATTAAATCCTTTCATGTTGCATATAATAAGTTATTAATTTGGTGTAATGTAATCCACTTGGTATGTTGATGTTAATTGGTTTATTGCTCATCATTGTATCTGGTAGCTCTTTGTTTTAAAGCTTCTTATTGGTTCATAGAATTATAATATTTAATCTAAATAGCAATAAAATGACTCGTGGACGCAACATCGATCTATTTTTTACTTAAAAATGCAACAGTTTAACCAGCCTAAAATTGATCTAGAAAGTCAACAATGATGCATTATCTCAACAATAGCAGAAACCTTAAAACCATGTTAACTATGTCAACTTGTTTCAAGTATAACTTACTGAAGTATAAGATAGAAAAGGTCAACATGTTATGGATAAATAATTTGTTCTTGAGTTATCTAATAAAATTCTAGCTTTGGTCAAATATGTTCTCTATACATTTGTGTAACCTGGACATATTTAACTTATTTATTCAGTTACTTAATTGATTTCTACAGGAGAATTGGAACCGACAGTCGTAGACTCTGGGTGATACGACGCAACATCTATAGGAGTGTTCCGTGTGGATTCATAGCCTTTTTTCTTATAAATCTAGATATGATTTATTTGACAGGATATAGGTATTTTCTTCATCCTATTTTCTTCTATAAATCGTACCATTTGCGTTTTCCTATCCTACCTCGGTTCAACTTCTAGTCTGGTGGGGTGCCGTGAATTGTGGTAGCCAAAATCGTCGCGTAATAATGCCACGTTGTGTTTAAGTAACACCTGTCTTTCTTCACCGTTAACTGCAGACATTTTCTGCTATCATCATCAAATCTAATTCGTGAACTCTTTTATCAGCTTGTAACTGTGCTATGAGGCTAACTGTATTCTCAGGTGAACTTTTTACCTATGAGAAGAGCTGGAAATTAAAACTACTCTTACTATAATCATTTTTATCTTGAAGAAATGATTAAATTAGCTCATCTATCTTCCCCCACCTCATAAACAAACTGTATGTCTGCTAAAAATTTCTTGTTCATAGTAAACATCTTTTTCAGTGGATGTAAAATTTACTGCTTAGATTTATTTCTAAATCCTAATCTGTGAATGAAGAGACTAATTTTTCCTCTAACCTAACCTTTTGGCATAACTATTACTTGTCCACAGCTATTATATAAATATTGTGGATAATTTTGGTATGGCTTATTGATTTTAGCAGTTGAATTCCAATTTTTCCGAGGTTTATAGGTCCTCTTTCTCGGGTTAGGCAGTCGAGTAGTATCCACCTATTGAGCGTGGCTCCTGACCTACTATATAAAACTGTACTAGATTGCGAAATATTTCTGTAGGCAGTAAATTTAGTTACCCATCTTCCTTGAATGCCTAAAACGAGTTTTCTCGCATTTGAACTCTATAAGAGCTGTACAATGACCTTTCAAAGCCGATTTGTCCAATAATTGTGGATTGATTCGTATGAGTTGAGTAGTCATTTCAGGTATATCGTCAGTTTTTATGATAGTTCATAGGTGATTACAGTATACTGACGCACGCACATATGAAATGAAAGGCATTGTGTTGATAATCTTCACCCTAACAATAAGATTTTTAATTGTAGTCTTTAACTCTAAGTTTTTCTTGGAGAATCATTTGATTGACAGACAGGAAGAGACTCAAATGCTACTGGAAGTGTGTGTTTCTTCTGATAGTTCACAACTGTATGAGCCGAGAAAAGCAAATCAAATCAGTATTGATCGTCTTGCTGGTATGAGAGAGTGACTGTAGAGTACAAGTGACAACTGCTGCTTGCAGTTGGTCGCACGCTTACGTCAGTTGCCCAAAGAATCTTATGGCGGATGCTGGGCAAAGCTGCAGGGTAAGGCAGAATCCATAGTTTTTTAGGTCGTCTTTTCCTAAGCGCAACTGTGAATGGTCAGTGCTCGGTGTAGCACCCTACTGTAGTCATACACTTATCCAACCAGCAGCTGAAATTTCCACCCAGACCACCATCATGATGTAAGCTGTTTACACCATAAAGGCAGCTGCTTTTAGTTCTACCACTATCCAACTGAACTTTATGACACGAAAGGATGTCAAAGAACAATCATTCTAACCAGCCTAATTGGTTGAGTTATTTTGAAATAAAATATCAGCAACCATTTCAAGGTGGCGACTTTCGGTTGTAAATGTTTTCAGCCACATACGATTTGAAACGAAACCTTCCAGGAGTGTTGATTCTGAAACATCAGCGGTTTCCAGTCATCAACGTTTTTACCCTCAAGTATACTGTAGTTTACTTGAAGTTTTTTTTTGAGATTTTACTACTCAAATGATTTGTAACCGTCCAAAACTCTGAGTCGGTTTAGATTCAAATAAAAAGCTACCATGTAATTTGGACACAAAAATACTCACATAAAAAATAGTTCAGAAGTGTAGGATCTTTCATAAGATATGACTGCAATGTTATCCGTTTGAACTAAGAATTGTTACAGACTTAAGGATACCAGAACTCTGATAAATCATAATCGCCTCATTATTAAGTCTAGCGATGAAACTGTGTCTCATTAGTCTAGACGCACGAATTCCAATTGTGTGATCGCATTTTCGAATCCCACTCCACTTACCGATGTATGACCAGCCGGATTGTATCAATCTTTTACTCAATTGGTATGGTCCATTGCCTAGTGCACGAACATGGGCATAGTTGCTGAGTTGCACTACACTTGATCATGTATTTGTATGCTAACTGTGATGCCTTTTTCACTGTATTCTTACTTCCGTACAGCATGAATTAGCAAGTCTCTGTGCGAAATGTGAACAGTATAGTGGTATGCAAGGTGGTGGAATGGATCAAGCTGCAAGTGTTCTGGCAGTTGAAAACAATGTAAGTTCATGACTTACGCAATTATTTATTTACTTCCTTGTCTTGATAATTATTTGAAGTTTATAAAAAGAATGAAAAAGCCTTCTATTAACTATTCTATAGTGTCTTTCAACCTCATTCTGTTATTTAGGCCCTGTTAATTGAATTCACGCAACCGTTTGTCACAGTGAATCCAATACAACTTCCGTCTGATGCAGTCTTTGTGATAGCTCATTCAGGTGTTAATGCACGTAAAGTGGCTACGTCACATTACAATTCCCGTGTGTCAGAATGTCGGTTGGCTGCCAAAGTAAGCGTTAAAACATTCCATTTATGTACACATTTATTTCAGTGTACTATTTAAGACTAATATTTAGAAAAATGTTAATATGCGTTTCAAACGCATTTTTGCCAATTTCTAGTCATTTTATCATAGATCGTTTCTCAAATATTTCATGGTCATGACAAACGGCTATAATTTTAAACCTGTCGTAATTGTATTTAATTACAATTTGTCGTAGTATGTAGAAAGTAATATCAGTAACTGTCAGACAGATACCATCGCCGTAAAATCTCGCACACAAGTGGGTCAGTTCTAATAGCTACATTTACCAGTAGTATACAAAGAACAAGTGGATAGAAAAAGAGTGATATCAGAGTTAATAAGGATTTGTGAGAGTGAACAAATTCAAGATAAAGGTTAGTGGGAATTTTCAAGTCTCAGAAGACGCTAAAGAGTAAATACATTTACGCCATTGTAACCGATTTTCAGCCATGTCACCAGAGTTTTCAACCACTGGTTCCTATCGTCTTGGCGACCTCGACCAAGTAGTCTACTCTCCCAACACGATTCAGACCGACAGTCAGTGACTTCATGAACTAGTGTCGCATCTTGGTCTGGCCACCCTGAACCTTCTTACAACCTAACCCAACTTCTAACATGACACGTCGAGGTAGGTAGTGACTCGGGATCCTCAACACCTGTCCAAGCCACTTCAGTCGATTAAGGTTCACAGCCTCATCAATCGACTCGCCTTTCTCGCTTACTACCCTTCGCCTGACCTCAACATTGCTCACACGCTGATTCCACCAAACAGGAGAAATGCTATGAAGACATTTGTGATCAAAACCTGTAACCGATTCATGTCTTCTACTTTCAACAGCCATGTCTCAGCCGCCATAATACAGGACAGAACATGCTGCAGTGCAGCATACTCGTCCTTTGGTAGATAGTCGGGTATTTCACCAGTTGGTTCAAATTCCTCCTTCGGGTCAACAAATATGGCAAGTGTTGGCTGACGGTAGGTATGTTTGTGTTCCAGAACCTGTATGAGGGTGAGAATACGATAAATGCAACCTCGTTCAGTTCTGAAACCTGCTTTGTTTTCTTGAGTTTACTGTTCACGAGCCGCAGTTAGGCGTCGGATCACTAAGGATCTTGAACAACAGCAGTTAAGCTAATTCTTAAGGTTGTCACTAGATTTTTCTCCCTTCATATAGACCGGGATGATCAGAGAAGTAGACCGGCCTGATGGCACTACCTCTGATTCCCGTAGCACTAACCAGTACCTATGTTACTGTAGCAGTTTCCTACCTCCATCCTTGAAAATATCGGGTGGCAAACTGTCAGGTACTGCTGCTTTTCATCACTTCAAGTTCGATGCAACTTTCTTAACTTCGAGGACAGTTGAAGGACCGAAATCTACGTCCCATTCAGGTTCAGACTGGATATTGAGGAAGGGAAACGTTGCTGAGGGTCAGTTGAAGGTGTTCTGTCCAATGCTGTAGCCACCTGTCCTGGAAGGATATCAGCGTCCCATCCTTTTTAGTGATGGTTTAACTAGCCATCTTCTTCTTCTTTATGGTATTCTTAATTTGCCTAAATAGTTGCTGATTGTTACCCAAGGCTGATGCCTTCTTCATCTCGCTTGCTCTCGCCACCCATCACCAGTCGCGATGGACGTGAAGACTCTTGGTTAATTTACGCTTAGTTTGCTTTCGGTCTTTTTTTGTTCAGAGCCAGCTGGAATCAGCCTTTTCGCATCAGTCAGTTTGGGTTGCGTTGCGGAAATTCAATGACGTGTGCTGACCTCCGTATGTAGGTTACCGACTGTCTTCACTGCTGTTTCTACAGCGGACTTAATATCATGGCAGGTTTCCTCAAAATGAGCATTTCTATCAAGTTCAGATAAATCTTTATCTGACTGTTCCCTTAATACGTATTTAATATCCTCATGTTCCAATCTTGAATATATGGGCTTTACAATTGCCTGTTTCCGGTGTCCGGTAAGGCCCAGACATACGCGAGCCCGTATTAGCGCGTTATTGGAGTGCAAACTGGTACTCTAAGAAGAGCATTAATCCTCCAACGATGGCTTATTGCAATATAATCTGTCTATGTCCATGGTTGGTTTGATATTATTTAACGTCATATGAGACAGTATCTTTCTGTCCTTATGCTTGGAGTTAATGCTGGCCAGAAACAAGTGATTATCAAATCGAAGTTGCATTAAATAGTTGTTGTTGACGGTTCCCTGGAATAAGATTCCGTAAATACCGCTAAAGTCACTTGCCATTATGACATCTGAACGTTTCTGTAGAAACGTTGACAGTTTCTCATAAAATTCATCCTTTGGATCCTCAGAAGTGCAGTCGGTGGAGATTATGATTAGTCATCGTTGGTCTCACGATGCTTCCTAGTTCTTACAGATCCATTCAGTCAAACAGCGCATAAACGGTTGTTGACTGGTATCCAGTCAAGAAGTGCACTTTATGCGCTACAGAGCAATGCCATGCCTACACCAGCGAGTCCATAAGAGTTGGCCACTGGGTCTCCAAATACTCGTAGGGTGAATTTTGAAGATTTACTACTTTGGCCAGGTGTGATCAGTGTAATAACCACACTAGGGTATTGTATATGTGTCTCAGGAACGCCGCACACATTCATGGCTTGATATTTCAAAGTTCTGGCTAGTGATGCTTGCTGTCCTATTTGGATAGAGTTCGGAGGTTGAAAGCTTTTACATTGAATCGATGGCGGGATCTTAGGAGGCTAGGAATGAGGTTTCGATGGCTTTGATCGTTGACAATGGTTGCAGAGTGAGATTTTGAGTAAGGCGTAAGAGGCCTAACATTAGTATCAGGTGGTGAAGGCAAAGACGGAGATAGAGTAGAGGAGGATAGGTTATGTTTGATTAGGTCTTGTATGCAACAGGAAGCGTGTTAGAAGTTGACACTTACCAGCTCCCCACAGAGTGAAAGGCTATTTCTTCTCAAGGTACCTGAAGAGAAAAGTATAATGTATGACCGCTTATCCCCCTTTCGATAGGGAAGGCAGAATCAGTGTGACACTGCCAGTCATCTAAGGGAGACACTTTACTGGTGTCTCACCTCATCCAGCCAGTAGTATGACTTCGCCCTCACACCTTCATTATAGTGTAGGAATTTACACTACAACGGTAACTGCTTTTCATCCTACCACTATCCAACAGACCTTTCTGGCATGGTAGCACCTCTAGGGAACAAGCGTTACAGCCAGTGTAGCTCGTTGGGTCATTGTGATATGTAAGTCCTACCACCACGTCAAGGTAGCAGCAACAACTGTAAAAAGCTTCAAGCTGAAACGAAAAGTAGATAAAGAGAATAAACTTGTGAGATGGTAAAATTTTAAAAAATTAAATAAAGAGGTGTTGATGTTTGTGCACTACTATGGTCGGTCGAGAAAGTATTGCCAAGAGCTACTAACTTTCGTTCGTAACTGTCTCTCAGATCCCAATCCGGTGGGATAAATGACTATGAACGAATGACACAGACTTAATGTGTTGATACTATCTTCCTACTTAATACCATCTCAGGAATAAAACTTAGACGCTCTGGTAGATTGTAATTCCATTCATGTTTGTGTATCAGCTGTATCATACAGTTAAACAGTATTACTTTATGAATAACGTTTCCGATGCAATTTATTTTCCATAGTCATATCAGGGCGACCCCACAACTGCAAGACGATCCATATATTTCCAGTTTTTCCTCTTCCTTCTTACTAAGAGTCGTAGTATTCGCTGTATATTTGGAACACATGTTGATTCATTTTTGTCAGTTAGTGTAGACCAACATGGTACCTAACAGTACTAAGTGCCGGTCCAAGTTGCCTCATCTCATAACAGTATGTCCAGAAACAGGGTGGCTACATAAAAGATACAGAAGTGGGAAGGTCTAATCAAAAGTCTTAGAGAGTCATAAAAAGAAGGAATAAAGAAATATCAGGTGCAATATGATGACTAAGAAGATGATATGCGACTGCATCTAGGCCACTGAGCCACATCACCTGATGGTTTTCAACAACTGGTTTCGGTTGTTACGTGGACCCCAACCTAGAAGCCTACATTTCCCTGTGTCTCAAATCAGCATTCAGAGACTTCATAGATTGATGCCTCTTTCCAGCTTGGTTACCTTTAACGTTTACCAGTCTATTCCTACTTCAGCTAACACTAATTTTCTAGGTTAATGGCGACTTAGGGTGCATAACAAATTTCCTAACTATGGTTTAAGATAGTAGGATAGACTAGTTAGTTCAATGAATTCATCAGCATAGTGTAAATGATCCTCATATTTCGTTCATACAACTGAACAATCGTACTTAGAGTCGTCAACCGGATCGTAAGTCAGACATGTTTCGTGGGTGCTGTGTTACTCATTATCTGTTCAAACCTCAGTGAGTGGGCCCACTGACTGATAGTTGAGTCCCTTATCCCATAAGCTACAGTCTACTATGGAGCTTAGCAATATATGAAAATGCTTAATGGCGATGAGTTTTCGAAAAGCTATACGAAATCTACCACTGACCACTTACATCGATCAGCATTGCTCGCTATGCAGATCAAAGTTTCAATCCTATTTATATTCCTTTAAGTTGAACGGCTTATTAGCACTACTAGTTATCGAACAGAAAGTTCGGCTAACGAGTATGTCTAGAAATCTCTAAAAGTTCACACACTATATGAAAATACAAGACACAAACCAAATATCCAAGACAAGATCAAAAAGATCACAACGCATAATTATTTTTACTCAGATAAACAGGTCTGAATGTACATCTAGCATAAATTTGGTCATGTCTTTAGTTATATCGGTTTGTAATAATAAGCAGCTTGTTTTAAAAGAAAAACGCATATCAGACATATTTTAATCAAATAAGAATGTATTCAAAGCCGAAAAACGCTCATTAGAATTTAGCGTTTTTGAAATGAAACATCTTACTATGAAACATTTTCTGGAAAGAATTAGTCAGACAATACAAACTTCATAGTCACTGACCTAATTTATCGGCTCACTTTTCTAAGATGAAATGATTCAACTAGACTG